GTTGAAAAATGAATGCTTTCTCTGAAATAGTCATGTACGGTATTTCTTCTGACAAGCTGAAGTAAATAATTTGTTTATTGGATACAAAGAGGCAGACTTTGAAGTGGCATGACTGAAGATGGAAAAACAGGAGAGTAAAAAGCTCCAAATGTCCCCATGAGGCCCCTGGAGGTGAAATATCTATTGTATCAACAATGGTAAATGTCTTATTATAATGTCATATTTTCACAAAGGACAAAAAAGTGTGAGACCACTCTAAAATGCCATTTTCAGTAGCTGGATTAGATCTTAATTAATGTGATAGAGGAAATATGTAATATGTATGAGGGAATGGCAGCCTAACCGAGACGAATTTGCTGCAAAGGGTGTAGATGAGGAGGCTGGGAGGGATGTGAGAGAGTAATGTGAAAGGAAGTCCTGGGCACCTGAGTTATAAACGTAGGTTAGCAAGTGTGCAAGTTCAGGATCTACCCTTCTGTTATAAACTCTATTTATCCATTCCAATTAGATTGCAATTGCTGGCCTGAGGACATCAGTTGCCTGTGACGTCTTAATGGACATTAAAACTTCAGTCAGCCTCTTTCTTGATATACAGTATCATAGTATATCAGCCAACAACAGGAATCCATTTATTTATAGGTTTTAATGTCTGAATATATCCAGCATTACCACAGATTACAAATACAACTACATGGGAAGTGTGTGTATAGGCTAAGAAATATTTTGAAAATGTTTTATTGTGTTGTTGGTTTAAAAATACAGTATATTAATTTGTTTAGTGAAATATGTTCATGTTGGCTAACACTGAACTATTTCAAATGATTCGTTGGATTAACAGACTGCTGGGCAAACCGCCATTGGTGAATACACAATTTTGACTAAGCCATGTGGTATCCACATTCTGTATGTATTTAACATTACATAGCATGTTAACCATATTCAAGTACATAAGTGTAAGCTTTAAAAATCTCCACTGCTGTTTTCGGATTAAGTAGCTTCACAGCATCTTGAATTGTCTTTTAAGATGGTGAAGCCAAGAATATATCTTTTTTTGAAAGCGTATAGACAGGCACTACTGAATTCTGAGAGGATTTAGTAGCTTTCATTTCATGTGTGAAAGCCTTTTCCACTTTATTGTGAAACATCTCTATAAATACAAAAAGGCTGAGTATTCATTACCCTCAGTGTAATGAAAGAGCTTTATTTACAGTGATTTTACTCATGAGCCTAACTGGGAATGCTGAATATGTACAGTAAAACAAGCCATAACTGGCTTTTTAATATCATTCACTCTACATGGATAGCAGTGTCTTGTCTATGAACATTTAACAATGGGATTGTCTCCAAGGAATTCTTGGCACTGAACTTCAACAGAAATGTAAATACAAATTGCATTGTAACTGAACTGATTTGCCGTGTGAATTTTAGAAAAATATACATTTCTTTGTTAGTCCAATGTAGTGCTAAGTACTACTCTTGTTGTTATAAGGTTTTTTCAGATCCAAGTTTTACATGCTCTTCCCTCAGTTTGCATTCTGAAGATGCCCAGAGTGTTTGAGAACTTTAAATGAAAGAAACTGTCCATTCATTAGACTAGGATGCACAACAGTATGTCTGTAGTTTATGTGAAAGTAGTAATATGTTTAATTTAAATTATACTGTCTGTAAAATATGTAATATAACATTTTCATATTTGATTTTCTTAATTACAGCCTACTCAACCATATGGTACAGTAAGTTTAGATTACTCACTGACCCAAAAACTGTCTTATAACAATAACATCACCATGGACTATTAGAATACATAATCTTACTATAATAATTGTATGCAAATATATTCACTGGTATATATTCATATCAAGTATACAGTATATATGGTATAATAAGAATATATTCATTTTAAGCAAATACATTAACTTCCCACTAGTCATAATTGCTCTGTATAGTGGGCAGTAAAGTTCACATTGAGTTGCTAAATTTGCACAATAATCAGAAATGATACACTGTACAAACAGGAACAAGAAGAAATTGTTAACACACCTGACTGCAGCACACTCAAAAGCTTTGTTAGATAAAATCTCATGGTAAGGCATTTTATGGAAAAGAAATACCCTCTCACTCAGCTTCATCCTATTTAATGTTCTTAAAACTGTTTAATGTGCCAAATCTTGGTAACTTGTTTATAAGGCGCAAGATGTCCCTGCTCATCAATCAATGTTAAGCAGTGTTGACAGAAACATAATTACTGCCATAACAAATAAATCATTTCAAAACCAGCACTTAAAGCCCTTTTTTTCCAGTATATGACAATCAGTGTAATAGCTAATATCATAGAGGTCTCTATCGGTGTTAAAATTGAAAAATGTATTATTAAAATATATACACAACTTTATATAGCCAGGAAATTACAGTAAAGGATGCAACAGTTTATGGTATATAGTAAAGAGTCAAGTAATTCATTTCAAAGTTTATTTAATATAAATAACTTCCAAGTATTGGGCTGGATCCATATATACTCATGTTACAGTTAGTTTTTTAGTCTATTTCCTTGGTTAAAATCTTATCATTGAAAAGGGATTCGGTACTTTATTCCTCTGTCCTGGAAATCTGATTAGTTGTTTCTTGATAACTGTGACATGTTATTATGATAAAATAAAGACAAAAGATCACTTCAGAGTATACTATTTTTGGGCTTGATGTTCTTTTGAACATGTAACCACCAGTCTGTGCATAAATTCTAAAGCATGTAAACTTTTGAAGTAGTACATTTTGAAAACTTTCAACAGTGCCATTGTTACCCATTAAACATAATTGTAATTTTTATTCTGAATGCAGAATCACACAGATTTAAAATCATTTCTCTGCCTTAGACCAAACCTGGATGCATATATTAGGATGACATGCTTTTAAATAAGTAACTTAATGCTACATCCTTTTAAATTCATCTGTGGTGAATTGAGATAAATTAAAAATCTATCTATAAATCAGAGTTTTTTAGACCCTGTGAGCTGAAAACTCTTTTAAAATCTTCAGTCCCTCCTGTTCTCCTCATAGAGATGGCAAACTGTTAAAGAGTGAAACGAGGAAAACTGAGCTCTTGAGAAGAGAACGCATGAAATACTTTGAGTGCTGCCACAGTTGCTAGGATGCATCATATCTATCTACGCAGAACTACAATATGACATGAAGCCACAACAACAGCTACAGAGCTACAGAATTGACCTGTTAAGCAATGTTCATGCTTCAGAATTTTTCTAATTACACAGTGAACTGTTAAGGTCTGTATTTAAAATAAAACGATTATCTACACCTGGAGATCAAAATTTAACAATGCATTAAGAAAACCTGAGGATTCTCATAGGAACTTAAATTATTTGAAGCCAGACTGCTGTTCTCCTTATTCACTGGATTCTGCCTCAAGATTTCAAAACCTAACAAGGAAATTATTTACAGTACATTGTGCCCAACGCTGGATTAAAAGGGCAAAAAAGGTCTTTTATTTTTTTATTCTAGTGGGTCAAATGACCTGTTTAGTGGTATCACAGTGCTCAGCAGTGACACAGGCAATGATACACTATCAGGTGATATCAGCTCTCAAGAAAAACACCGGTAGTTGTATTAAGATGTAGCTGTACGCCGGAGTGGTCCTCACAGAAAGTATGCTACAGCGAACAGCAAGGAAAAGTGAACACAAAACAAAATAAATATGACTGTATAAAAGTACAAAATGGTTGGATTAAAGTTTATACTGTAGATTAACAAACTTCAACTATTCACCTCCTCCCCACCTATTCAGCTCCCAGCTAACTTTTCTCCCTTTTGCTGATTTTAAATGTCAGTCCAGAAAGCAAACGGAGAAGATCTAATATGTTATCATGCTAAATCATATGCAGGGAGTTTTTACACTTACAAACTTCTCCAAAATAAACTTTAAACGAATCCTTTGGTCAGTCCAAAATAGCTTGAGAAAGAAAATACATCCCTCCCATCTAGGTCTCCATAGGACTTAGAAGAAAACTTAATGCCCTGTACATGTCTGTATGTAATGTTGCAGTCACTTCTGCTCAGTAAGACAGTAGAATCTGACATTAATAGCTGATCAGGAACTTCTCAATAGATCAGAACTGCATCTCATGACGTCTGCTGGACTGTATTTGTCATAGGACTTTGTTTCCTAACATGTTCATGGTGAAAGTAATTGCAATCAAAGAAAAGGGAGACTGAAAACATATAATTTATGCACAGCCAAAACACCTGGCTTTTAATACATTTTATACAATTTACCATAAAAAGTCCCAGTGGCACAAAAACAATGCAAATCAAAGACGGACAAGAGGAATACTTGTAAGAAACAGACTGATCCATCTTGATTTAATGGTCACCTATTAACAGTATATTTTCAATTACTTTTATATGGAACTATATTATTTTTTATCAGTTTCTATACTTATAGTTATTTCTGACACGTCTTGTATAGCACAAATATCACAACCTTGAACAAATAATCAAGATCAAGATTTAGAGAGTCAGAAAACAATTGGCAAAAAGAGTGCTATGAAAAACAGAATTTCACTGTGCAGTTCCCCAATATAAATTCCTGTCCCCCCAAAAAACTGTAAAGAGTGAGGAAACATATGGTACTGAATACATATAATGTCTATACTGTATGTGAAGCATCGCCCACAAAACATTTCAACTTATCAAATGAAATCAAAGAATGAGAAGTAAATGGTATTTATTTTGTCCTTAAAAGAAATCATTTTCATAATAAATTTCAGCTCAAAAAGCAAATCCAAAGATAACGATGACGGTGGCCATGAGGGGTGTGAAGAAGATGGTGGCAATGATTTGTACTTATGTTCGTGGGATCTTGCAAAGGGAGATTGTAGTACATGTAAAGTCCACCAATGGAAACAAGAAGCCAAAAATGTGGAAATGGAAAACCAGAGAAAGCCAACTTTAATGAAAATATGACGCAAAGAATATTTGAAAACGCTTACCTTCTTCAGTCATTGTGTGATAATATTTTAGCTTTCCATATGTCCCAAGTTCTACAACATCACAGCAAAAGACACAAGTGTAAAAGGCAACAAGATTAGAAGAGAAAATGTGAACATGAAGGAGGAAAACATACTGAGATCTTTACGGTACACACAATCATTAAAAGTAAAGCGCTCGGTGCTCAAAATCACCAATATAAAAAATACAGACATGTAGTTTTTAAAACAAAGGCTCTAGTACAAAAATATAATTTAAAAAATGTAACATTTTCCTATAATATTTTAATCAGTAAAACACCTGTTTTTTTAAAAAACTTAGTGTTATGAAATAATGTATACATACATATACAGTAATACAGTTTTGAATTGCTTTGTACTATATTATGTAAAAGGATTGTTTTCTACTTTGATGTATTTTATTCTGTTTTTTTCCAACTTCAAATCTATAAGGCAAGTATTATAATAATTGTCATGTCCTCAAGGTTGCAATTAACATAATTTTGGCTTATAATTTTGGTGCATGCTGTATCCTGCTAATAATAACAGTAACTGCAATAATAATATAATGGTAGCAATTCTCGTATAATGTCTGATTATTAATGCTGCAGATTTAGGTATGAAGTAATAATTTGCAGCACATATGTGCAATTATTATTTCAAATAATAATACAAAAAACAACTTGGTAGCTGGCAGACAAAAACTCTCCACAATTTATCAATAATTAGAATGATTAGATTATGGATTAATGCACATTACATAGTGTCCCCTGAAATGTCCCCGTAAGATAGTTTAGTACTATGTACAGTCTGGTAATCTATAGATAAGATGAACTAATATGGAGAAGTATTTCAATCTAATTTAAATATTTTTACATCTAATATATATTATATTTGAAATAAAACTAGAGCAACGCATTTTCAACTGTTTAAAATGAGAAAGCCGAAACGGATGTAATACAACAAAACATTTGCAAAATGTAACGCACTTGTCTGCAGAGAGTTTTTTTTTCTGCTGAACCTTAGCTTTCTGGCTGATGACTAAGTGCTGTCGTCACGGCAAATGAGTCATGCAGCCATTTTTGTCTGAAACGCAAATTAAGTCGACCAAAAACAGGAGCTAAGGGGAATAGCCAAAAATATGCAGCCAAGAGAGAAACATAAAAATATCTTGGAAGGTGATATAAAAAGGTCAATACAATTGATGGCATATGAAGGTTTAAAAATAAGAATCCAACAATGAGGCAGATTGATGTGAGCAACAATTGAGTTAAAAACACTCAAAATTCATCTAACGACATCCAGTGTGCATCATAGTTTATGAGCACTGTTTTTATTTCCTGCACTTTTACTTCCATTAGGTATCTGTATCTAATTTGAGACACAAAATCACCAGTCAAATATTTGAGAAAATCCTTAAAATTCTAAACGGCAGATTTCTCTTCACAGAGTTAAAAATGAGAGTACCGGTGGAAAACTGCGATAAACCAATCGCTTTGGACCTCATGAACAGATCAGCATCGGGTGGTAGTCTGCCTGTAGTGTACAGGGGCCCTAAATCAGCTTTGTATTACACTGCTGTCAAGCTCTACACATTTATTTATTCTTATGAGTGAAAATGGCAATTTGAACTAAATTTGGTCACATTGGGATGCATGTTGTTATAGTGATAATTTTCTTGTGAATACTGACCCTTAACAAATTGGCTAAGCTATGATTCATATAGGAATTACACTAGTACATTTTTTCGGTTACAGTGCGACAAGGTTTAAGGCTGTAATTAAGGTTGTAATTTTTTAATCTATGTGCTTCAAAATATTTTACTAATTGCCTGAAGACATGTCCTGGCTCTCTTGAATAGTAATTTCTTTCTGCATCTATTCTTGAATCTCAAAAAGCAAAATGTACTTTTAATCATCTCAAAATACTCTCCTGATCCAGTACATCAAAACAGTATACATGTACAGTATCTTTTAATGGAGTATGTTCTGACAAATGCCCTTTACAGACATTTGATTAAAATCTCTAAGGTACTGTACCTCTTTATTTTGTCATTTGTTTGCTTAAAAGCAGAGGTGGGATTAAGCTTTTGCTCTGGTGTAGGGTTAATGTTTTTTCCACTGCTTGTAAAATATGAAATATATACCTGTTTTGTACTTTGAAAATAAGCAATTTGATATCTTATAGATCACATTACATAATTGTCCATTGTTGGTCATTAATGTCAGTGGTACCGTTTTTACAGTAGTTTTATTTGTAAGGATTACCCATTGAAACTAACTAAAGCAGCAGTAAGCTCACTATGCTGTCTGTTGATGCCATTAATCAGCGTTTTCATCGTTTTTGTACAAGGGACCAGCTCTGTAAGGTCCTCCTTTCTTGAGGAGAGTTTAGGCTAAAATGCAGTCCACAATGTTACTTAAGATTGCACCAGTCATCTTTGCTTCGGAGACTGTAGTCAGTCTGCAAACCAGAGGTTCAGAAACATGGCCATAAATGACACCAGGACACTCTGTTTATGTATACAACACCTGTGCAGCATTCCTTTTAAGCATTCGCACAGACACAAAGGGAATATTAGGATAGCAAATATAGCAGAATTTCATAAATATACCTGTAACATTGTATGTTTTCCTGGAAGAAAAAGGATAATGCTGGCATTCCTTCTCACGTATTTGTAAACACACTGTATGCAACGCATGTAGTTGGATCTGGTTACCTTGGCAACGGGACACGACTCGGACAAACTACTCTAGAACTGTATTGCAATGGCAAGTGGAAAAGCTACCCACTGCATGCAACTGGCAAATTGAATTGTCTAGAAAGAATGACATGAGAAGCAATGACACCTCTATCAGCTTCTCTTGAACTCTTGCTGAGTGGAACCGGGAAAGATTCAAATGTGTTTAAAAGCTACAGTTCCTGCAATTATTGAATCCAAAATGATTTTATAGAATTCCAAATGCCCCACTGATGCTGTAAAATCACCAGAAGCATTTTATCCTAGTTTTTTTACAGCATCTGTCACCATGCAAACAGTGTGATGTATAAAAGTCCCATGAGGCTCAAGGGAAAGCTGGGTTCAGCTTGCACAAATTGATACACATACTGTACTGGACAAAGCTGCATCACAGGAGATAAAGTAACAACATTAATGATCGCCGTCCCCTACTCTACGGTTACAGACAAAAGATCTCTTTCAGCTTTGAAGCAAACAAAAACATTCACACTCATCGGTCAGGCTGACGAATGCTTGTGAGGTTTAGCCCTAATGACAGCTGAGAAGAAAGTGATGTGGCACTGTCAATACAACCAGAGTTAAAAGCTGTGCAAACTACATTTGCAAGCAGCTTGGTGATGTGACCTTTCTGCTTTGCTGATCTTTTTAAGATAATCTATGTCCGGGGAGCAATATCTTTTGCTTTCCAGTGTCACAGTACTCGGTGACCTCTTCTAATCATTGTCTGTTTAATAGGAGTTAAAGTTTGCACCAGAGCAGAAAGCTTTTAACATTGATTCCCTTTGAATGCCCATGACGAAGAAGAGTGACATGAATTAGCCAAACCAAATAATGTGCAAACAGTTTTTTTCTCAACAGTACAGTAAAAGTAAGAGCACGTTAGTTACAGTCCACTGAAAATAAGCAGAAGTAAAGATTTATTCGATCGTTCAAGAGCATTTGACACTCACAGGCACAGTCAGTCAAGGTTTACAGTACATCTCCTTTCCGGGCCAATGCCCAGGAAAACAATAAGAATTGCATATATTGAAAATAATCCAACGTAATGGCATAATATCATCAATCAATTTGCCTTATAAGAAGGATAAATGATTGCAGAGAATGAGTGTGTGTTTATTAAACAGGATCCAGAGTTTTACAAAAGAGAAAAGTCAATGCAATCTCTACAGGAGTATTAGTCTCAGAAATGTTTCAGACCAAACATGTGTCCTAACTTGAGTTAAAGGTGCAAGTCCGGCACCAGGATGTCAAGCAACTGCATGAGAGAGGTTAGTGCTGTCGACACATTGGTGCATAATATACTGGAGAGCTAGGTCATGTTTGGCGTTTAACCAAAATCAATACTATCTGAGAAAAAAGCATAATTACACATGTTGTGACCATAGGGGGGCCTGTTGAAATATACTGTAAGGTTCAAAATAAAAAAAACATTGAAAATTAACGGAATCACTGTGTTTGCACAATATCACAGTGAAATAGGTGAGCTTTACCTTTTTTGTTATTGTTCTGTTAAATTATTGCCCAATGATGGACAACATAATATAGCTGCATTTCAATCAGCCTTAAACACAATTATCCTTAATTGCTTTTATTTCTGTATTACAGCCCCTTATTTCATAGTTACCGAGCTTTTTACGGCAAATTATGTATGACTAAGAAATGGGAAATGTTCTTTGCTCAATCATAGTATGACAAAAGCTATTGAAAACTGAACACAAGAAAAATAAAAATAATACAGACAATGTATAATAACCTTCTCCTGTCTTTCAAATCGTAAATCACACCTTGTAGCTGCGCAGTGATCAGGATATCAGGTTCATCCCTCTGTGCTTAATTTTCCCCAAGAGTATTAGACTGTGCAGTAATTATATTTTTGGAAGTTACTTGATCACAATTGATCACAATTTTATGTACCACAATACAGATATTTTTGGACTTAGTATAACTGTGGTTCTTGTATAAATTTATATTTTTAATATGTATAAGAGAGGTTTTTGAAGCAATAAAGAGACATTTCTAAAAACAAAGGAATAGTTTTATTAAAACCACTACAGCTGGGTGTGAACCAACAGCAACCAATCACTATCAGTTAATGGAACAAGTAAAAGGTGTATTCCATGCTGAAAATTGAAGAGAGGAAACACGTTTCATCTGTGGCAATGTTGTGTTTCTTTTCGTCTCTTTTCAGCATGGAATAAGCCTTTAACTTGTTCCTTCACAGCCTATGCATGCTAACGCAGATACCTACTTGAACTACTATCAGTTAAAGTTACATTCCCAGAACCTTGCACTCACAGGGAGTATCATCCAGATAGGACACTGTGTGTTACATGCATCAAGATTACTAATCAGGCACAATTGAAACATGCTTGATTTTCATCAAGCTATTAAGTACTGTAGTTGGCAGGAGAAAGGGGGTGAAGCAGATGCCATTTACATAACTCTGTCCTTTGAAAGAACATCATTCATACTGTATTGTTAAGCTTTTACTTATCTCTACTTTGATCAATTACAGTGATTTTTTTACTCTATTATTTCTTCCTGAACCACTGTGCAAGATGCATAATCTTCTTCTTCTTCTTCTTCATGCATAATCACAGGCCTAATATATATTCTGCATCTTCCACAGATTGACTAATGTATCTGTGAAACATTCAAGGGGGTTTGGATTTATTCAAGTCTTTCATTTTAAGAATTTGGAATGGAAGCAAATAAGAAAAGTTGTAAATCACATGTAGTTAAAATAAATCAAACTCATTGCATTATACCCTACAATAAGTCATTAGAACTGTCATTATTTTGCATAGAAAAATCAGTAATTGAAATGTGGAGAACGTATTGGAACGAATTACAGAAAATGAAGCTACAACACTGGCGGAAAACGTAGTGTTTGTTCAAAGGAAATTTGTTTTACTACTTCAGTTTAAGGAATATAAATTGTCAGAAAGATGTATCGGATTTCAAATGAATTAACACTGCTTTTACATTTACATTTAAAACCTCTCCTCATTTTGGCTTTGTTTGTTGGTTACATCTCATCCTGTAGCTTGTACGATGTAGCTATCCATTCCCCTAGCCAGTTGCATCACCTCGTAAAAAACAAATGTGTTACGAGTTCAGGGTTACCCCTGCCATTCTGGGAATCGTTAATAGTTTAACCATCCAACTAATTGATGATCCTTCTCATGGCAATCTCACAACTAAGTTGAATAATTATACATGTCTAAAGAATAAGCTCATTGGTCTGGGGTGCATCGATCGCTTTTATTTATTTTTTACGAATTTAGAGTTTTCAGAATAGATGAGATCATGAAAAAAAAGACACATACAGCCTCTGCTGGGTGATTAATATTTCAGCAGCTGTCTTTTTCAGAACCAGCATTGCTGTTGACACGGTTGAGGGGTGGATAGACAGGCAGCAACAAATAACAGAAGTCTCATGAGGTAAAGAGCAGTTCAATTGTATGATGCGACTACCATGGTAACACGGCCCCCTGAGAGTTTGGTCGAATTAATAGAATGTCAACGCTGTTAGATACTCATGCAAACGGGTTTGATTGTTAGGGGATGTTTAAGACTGTCAATGCAAAGATTAAAGGTTAAAACAGGTTAACGAAAGGAAGGGACAAGTAAAATGGAAAAAGAAGCAGCAAAATGTTGAAAATGCAGTATGCAATGATTTCAAAGTAATGAAAAAAAAATCTGAGGGGAATGTTTCTTACACGTATGGTTTTAAAACCATTCCTATAGTATAGGGATTGGGGGTAAAAGTAATCGGGAATATGTAGTTAAGAAAGGAAAATAGTTCCAAGCTGTTCTGCCAGTGAACAGCTTTGTTATGATTAGAGAAGAAATACACGTTCAACTCACCAGAATCGGCAAACTCTGAGGAAAGAAATAGAGAAAGCAGAAAAATATTATAAAAAAGAAAAAAGAATCTAGGTAAGTCAGCATACTTTACAAGATGGTTCCATACAAAATATACCATTACTGTTGTCATATGCACTGTTATCTAGGACATTTAAATGTGCTTTTGCTTCTGATTCCTAATGACCATATTATACGTTTTATGTAACTATTTCATATTTCTCAAATGTTCAAGACAGGGAAAAAAAAAAGAAATTCTTTGGGGTGAGTTCCTTTTAATTAAAAACAAATTTCCACCTTGGTATTCTGAATGTCCTTGCTGCTTTTAAATTGCTCTATGAAAGCAATAACAGGGATCTTGGCCGCCTGGGCTGAGGAAGGTCTTCTTTAGCTCAGCCGGCAAGACCCCTGTTGAGACCTGGGTTCATGCCCAGGCGGTGAGGTACGAACTGGGGCGGGAGTGGCGAGGGCACAAGCCAGAGAACCCAAAACCGTTACAATATGATACATAGTTGATTGCTGTTAGAGGGTCTAAGTCTAACAGAAATTAATCTAAAAATAAAATAAAAGTAAAGCATGGTTATGAAAAGCCTAATATTTGCTTCAGAATTACTTACGTGTGGCTTCAAGCCCCACACAACTCACCAGTGAAATACAAAAGATGGCTTCAATCTACTGTAGTACAAGTTGGACTTTCATCAACAAATGTACTGTGCAATGTGGCTTTATTGTGATTATTGTTATTGTGTTAAATAGCTGGACACTGACTTCTTGAGTTACAAAATCAAGGTTTGCCTGCTGTATTTTCCTACACCATTGATCCATACACAGACAACTGAGCAGAAGGAAAAGTAAAAACCAAGGTACCATATGTTCCATATCCATAAATAGACCATATACAGTACTGTATACATTTCACAAGAAAAAATTATGCTTGCAGAAAAATTGTAAGTGAAACATAAAGTGCTCATTGCTGGGAGGTCACTCAAGGGGACATTTCAGGTATTTTCACTTCCCAGTTCATCCATTTCTTAAACTCGAAAGCCCATTAGCCCTTTCCCTTTCTAAATGGTGCATGTATCTGCTTTTACAGTGTGGGGGTATGAGAGCTCCAGAGTAAATGCACAGTAGAGCGCTGTATAAGAATGGCAATATTTAAATAGTGTATGAAAAGAGTTCTGTTCAAGCTAAACAGTCTAGGAGGCTGTTCATAAACAGGTTTCAAGCAACACACTAAAAAAAGACAACTTCTATAAGTCCTTCAGGAGCTTTAGGGATTGAAAATATATACTAAGTGGTTCCAGACAAAATTCATTATAATACACACTAATTTCGAGCATCCAGAGCTCGCAAGCAGTTTTTCCTAGCATTAAAAATTACATGTAGCTCACATTGTCTCCCTTTATATATATTTGGTTACTGCAACTTTACTTTATCCTCTCAAACATCTGCTTAAATGTATTTATCACATCAGCTGTGTGCACAATGGCATGTCTTGAGCCTGAATCTAAACTTTGCACTTCATGCTGGATTCAATAGCCAGCACCGTGTCCTCATAGAGTGTCCGTGCCCCTTCATCCTACAAGCCAATTAACAGCAAACATCTCTACTAAATCATAGGGTTGTTGTCTTGCTAATCTGCTCTCTCATAAGTATATACAGAAACCACCCAATGACCAGGCTCACATGCATGGTGCCTTGCAAAATTGATCCAGAATAATGTATTCAGCATTTATTCTGAAATCATGTGAACCACTTTTAATGCACACAGACAGATGCCATTCAGTGAATTGTGTGACCTGTCATAGTCATGTTGTGCTCCTGATCTACAGTAATTAAGGTTTTCCATAGAAAAGGGGGTGAACAGTTAAAGTACATAATCAACATATTCTAGTTTTGGATTGATCTTTACAGCTTTTGGGTTATATATTTAAGTTTGACTATAAAGTCACCTTTAAATTATTCACATCGTAAGAGGAGGCAGAATACCTTTGCAATATTTAAAACTGAGATTTTTATACATATATACCATATGTATTTTAACATAAAATACACACCATATCCTTTCACTCTATTATGTAAAATAAGTATTGTTTTGATGACAAAACTTTTACAAAGAGGATAGTCAGAATCCTATCCACATCTGTAAGGTAATGTAAAATGTCTGTAAAACTATGAAGTACTGCACTGATCAACATGAGTACAAAACACCTTGACTACTGACCAGCCAGTAAGAGAATGATTTGGAAGCAACTGGACCACTTTGGTTCTAAGAATACAGGACAGGGCAACAACACAAAAAAAACAAGACTACGCATTACCAAAATTGTACACTGAATAATTGTGATGAGCAAAAAAAACACATTACAAAATCACAGCCCAAAATTCATAAGCAAATGAAAATGGGAGCTGAAAATGTTTCACCTTGTGTCAAGCAAAGTAGTTGTTCTATTCTGTCATGGTCTTTTAAAGACTAGAATTATTAAGTTGACCAAGAGAAATATGAATGCAAAAAATTGTAATACCTACTATGCTACATGGTGTGGATAAGAAAACTTGACAGGTCAAAAAGAGAGGTTCATCCTGAACAAAGTCAAATATAGCCTCTGAACTTGTAATCTTTAGTGAAAAAACTTCAAAAACATAAAAACATGCATCTTATCTTAAGCAATGTTTAGCATCTTCAGTTTATGTTTTCAATTTCTGCAAAGTACAGAGTTATGACTAATTCTTTGGAGAACAAAGTGTTGTGAATTTAATCCAGTACTTTCAAATCCTCTTAATCTTTCAATTTTCAAAGCCTTGCAGTGTCATGGTTACCAGCGCAGAATGTAACATAATATAATGAAGGTGTTTCTTGTCTAATTACTCTGCAAACCCTTTTCTTCCTTTGTGTCAAAATTGAATAAGATTTCCTCCTCCCAGATTTACAAAGTTGTTCTCTGATGGGAAACAAAGTTAATACTGTCATAGAAGATACATCAACTTACTACCTTTTGATTTGATTTGTAAAAGAAACAGCTGATTGATTCTATCTGTGATCATTTATTATTAGCAGACACACTACAGAAAGAGTGGGTACACAGCTCCTATAGAAACACACATAGTGGTTCATTGAGCCTTAGCTTATCCCAATTTCTAGACATAAAGTGATCAGAGAGCCCAAAACTCTCAGAGACTCACCCACTATGCTACACTACCCTCTTAAAAGAAATAGTAGTAAAAATAAAAGCAGGATTGTGATTGCTAGTTGCAATCACAGAGAATACGTCTATCATGATTTCATTGGCATAATATTATTATTAGCTTGATCAAACTTTTTTTACCATGCTAAATTCCCATAGTTTAGTTGGAAAAGGTTGAGCAAGCCCATAGTACTACAGAACCAAAAATGAACATTTAAACCTCCTACAGATGCAAATAAATCTGAATCCTGGAAGTTTAAATGTTCAGTTTTGACTTTGGAATACTGTGGGGAGCTCCATTGTAGCTCCCTAAGACTGCTGTCTCAGCCGTCAGCTGTACTCCTTCTTCATCTACGAATGTATAGCCACTTACAGCAGCAACCACATTATTACATTTACTGATTACACCATAGACTTCAGGCTGATCAGTAATAATAATGGGTCTGCATACAGGAGTCAGGTGGAGCTCTTTCAAGATGGTGCCTTGACAACAATCTGGCCCTGAATACCAGCTTGACACATGAACTCGTTGAGGAATCAGGAGACCCAGAGGGAGGCACGCCCCAATCAGAATCGAGGGCACAGCAGTGGAAACTGTCAGCTGCCTCAGACACCTTGGTCTGCAGATCTCCACTGACTTGGCCTGGTCTCACAGCACTCTAGCCAGTCTGAAAAAGGCACACCAGCCCCTCCACCTTCTGTGGTGCCTAAAGAAATGTGTCACTGTATGGTACAGCAATCCTACCATACATGACAAGGACGCTCTACAAAGGGTTGTGGCAAAGGCACAATTACAGGTTGTGACTTGCCATCAATCGGTGACATTCACATCCTCCGCTGTTGCACTAAAGCCTAATCCATCACACACAACCGAGCCACAAACTGCTTTCCTCACTGCACACTGGCAAGCGGTACCACTTTATTAAAGCACGGACTACTAGATTTTAGAACATCATCTACCCTGCATCCTTAACAGCTACAGTAACTGCACAATGCCTCAGCACTCAATCCACCTCTGCACTTTGACTTGGCTGCCATGAATTTATTGTTCTGTTTGTTTATTGTCCGTACATACTGTCACTATTCATTATTCACTGTTTTGTAATGTACTGTTTACATTGTGTATTGTCATCTGTTGTACTTCTGTGATGGCCTGAGAGGTCTGTGCAAATAAGAATCCCATTGTACATGTACATATGGTAAATCAATTCCATCTATCCTGGAGAATAGATTTGTCAATTCACAGCTTCATTGTACTATGTTCCTGTTAGGAATGTTATATATATATATATTGCCCTTAATAAGTTAACAGAAGGGTAATTTAAACACAAAAAGATAATAAAACTGCCTTTAGATACACCTTGTAACAATAATAGACCACTCCCTTAAATTAGCCCATCAATTTCTCAACTAAATGTTGGCTTTGTGAAAAAAGAAATACAACTCAAGAACAATATTTCAAACTAGCACATTTTAAGATGAATAATCACAATGATCAGCAAGCTGTCAAGTAAAGCTCTACTGCTATTCAAGACTCCAATTAGTCTGAAGAAAAACACTTTTCAATGGCGACTAATCCAATTACAAAAATATTTTTCAACAGAAGACTTTAATAGGCATATTCTTACAATTTTTATCACAATTGCCATCACGACGTTAGGAAATGCTGATATTTTTCTGGATGACAATGTTCAAAAGTAACCATAATAGCTATTATTCAAATCCAACAATTTTTTGGCTTTTTTTTTTCTCTAAGATCATTTAATTTGCCTGTTGAATCATAATTAAGTCTTGCCAGCCTGGTAAAACATGACTTGTTATGCCACAAATATA